GCCTTATTAAATTTTTAAAATTTTTAATTTTATATATATATTTTCTATAGATGTAACAATCGTGAGACCAATGAAAGATATGCTGTCTAAAGAAATCGGTATATACAATAAATTTCAAGGATTTGAGGCACCTATCATAAGCTCTCTAACATCCATGATGTCACCCAAAGCAAGTATAGATCGATTAACTGAAGGTGAAATTCTCGGTTCTTTGTTTCAAATGAATTGTAACAAATAACTTTATTAAGTTGAATGTTTTATACACATTAGAATTTATTGTTAAATTGGAACGTGAGTTTCCGTCAACTGTGAGCACTATTTCAAGAACTGCTGCAAAATTAACTCCACCTGAATATATTGATTCAGATAATCGTTGTATTATTTGCTTGATGTTAGTGAAATCTAATTTGATCTTTAAATTACGTCACTTTTATTTTTCTTTTCTCTAACAAATGTACTCGTTTATGTAGGCCATATCAAAAGGATGACAAAATTTGGCAAAGCAGAATTACTGTAATGACAACTCCGTCATCTACCATTGTTAAGACTCAAAATTCAATTTTTAAAAATTCTAGTATTAATTCAAGCACTTGTTCAGGTGCTGCTACGTGTTGCTCATCAGACTGCTGTACATCTAAAGATCATAATATTTGTAATTTGACAGATTTTTTATGTTATGCATGTCGAGTAAACATGCGAGATATAAATAGTATCACACTGCCACCTTATGTGACTGAAGATGTTGAGAAAAGAAACGGACGCGAAAACCTAAAAAAAAAGCATTGAAGAATACTTTTTAAGCGATGATGATTAATTATTTATTTATTTTATGGTAGTCGTATGTTTGTAAACAGTTATGTTTTTATATTTTACATAATTACAAAAACATCCAATAAATTTACTAAATAGACCTGCTGCGTCAACTCTTTTAAGTGTATACTCCCAACAGCCAGAACGCGATTATCTATGGTTGTAAAAAAAACCCAGATTTTTATTTATTGTTAAAATAAATGTCACGGCTGATGCTATGTTTAATATCACGTGAAAATTCGGGCCGTGAAAACAAACGTCTCTTTGTCAAAAATCGCTGATTTCTCAAAAATCTTCATAAGAAACAACACTTTGTGCACTAACAAAAAGTTTTTCTTGAGCGATTTTACCATATAACCTTCTAAACTCTAATGTTAATATTAGATAATAATCCTAACACAACTATACATGTTAATGAAATTATTTCAAAATTGTTTTTGATCTATTTTACTTAAAAGACAAAATTTTTTAATATTTTTTTTGAAGAGATGAAATTATAAAAAACATAACTATCTAAATTAGATTTGCTTTTGCATATAAAAAATTTTAAATTGTTCCAATAGAAATGAAATTAAGTTTTTTGAAAACCTATTTTGATAATATATATAAATACAATCAAACTTGAAGA